TGTGTGTAGAAGGTGCTGAAGCCGGTGGCACAAACAGAATTTTGGCTCGCTCCTAATTCCTTAGTTTGACGGTAATTTGAAGTGGTTCAGAAAGATAGCCATCTCCAAACAATGTCAATTGAAATGACCACTCACTGGGATTTGATAATGATTAGAGCTTCGTAATTCGTAATTCCCACAGAGGTTATTTGACAAGCTTACGAGTATTATTGCAAACCATAGGCCTCATATCGCAACTACGGTAGGTAGATGATAATCTTGGGAAAGAGTGAGGACGAAAGGGGGGAGTGGGTACTCGGCGGCATGTCTCTGATATTAGGTCATAGAGCAAAGGCTCATGGACAGTCTGCTACACAAACTTCGGGATTATTTTAGTGAATGGTTTGTGATGAGAAAGGCCTAATCAGTGTTCCATTCAAATGCCTTTGCTGATACGCGGCGTTCTATATTAGAAGAATCCAATTAAAAACCAGGAGTAATTCATAGCATGATATGCATACTGCACATTTTTTGGCAACTTGCGATTTGTACGACTGAAGACCGCATAAACTAGTGCGACCTTATTTATGGAATTTCTCTTTGTTAACTTCTCGCGAGTTAGTAGGTGACTTTACTGCGCAAGGTGCAGGTTCATACTTGAGCCACAAGTATTTCGCGCATATATTGAATTATAGATGCACAATTTCTTATTACAGTCTCGTGAGGAACTGAAGGAGAAATCTCCAGAACTCGCAGCAAAGTTGAACAATTTGTTTGAATTAGTGAAGAGACAACTTGCTGAACTTGATCCCGAAGGAAAAGAATTTCTCAAAAATGTAGGCTATTTGGCTATTTGACTCTCTTTGATACATGGATTTTTGTTTAGATGACGGTCATGTGGAAGAGTAAGTCCTTTGACGGGTACGCCGCTCCTACGGTTGCGGAAGAGCTTACACTGGGCTTTATCAAAAAGTTCAATGCTTTATCCGATGATGTCAAGGAGGATATCAAGAAGAAGTTGCCTGCGCTTGCAGCATTTCTTACAAGTGAAACACAGCTTCAAAATATTTTCTCGTTTAATCGAGATTCTTCAGGCGAGGAGACAGCGAAACGCCTTCAAGAACACTAGGCCTTTTGTCTAAAGTTCGCCCTTCTAGCGTTAATGAAG